GGAAATCCCACGACGATGAATAGTAGTCCATTTCGCTAGTAACCTAATTCAGTCTATTTAATCGTTAGCGGGACTTGGCCATGTACGGCACGGCTTTAAACGACATAATAAGACGAATGGAGACCAGATTCCAGGACAAGAACTTAGTAATTCTTCATATGAAATAGATACACTGATAATCTAGCACAGTAATTGATTACGATTCACATTAGCTATCACGGTCGGATCAAAATCATTTATACGAAATTCAATCGTAGTGCCTTTAATCGTTAACGTCAGAACAATTAAAAATAAATTAGTTCTTATACGTAAATGTATGAACAACAAATGTCTTAAAGCAGATTTATTATACACATTATTATTTTGCCAAATAAATTCCTAAAAGAAGGTCAAAATAATGTTACCCAACAATACATTAATAAGAGTCATTAAAACTATCTAATGACATCGTAAGGATTCTAATGAACCAATGAATGTATCGCTACTATATCGAAACAATTAACAGTAAATTGTTTCTTATATGTAAATGCCTTAAGGGGGTAGACTCCGATGGCAGCGCGATAAGGCGGACTGTCAATGTTGCCCACAAAATTAGCTAAAAGTATGGGTTTACGGGAATATACTTTTCGCCCTTATCTGAGAATGTTTTTTGATCGTCAAGTATCTCTTCCGAAAGAGGAAAGTCAAATCTCGCACGGTCTGGTCATTGTTTAATCAGAATATGCTAATATTTAGCAGTATAATATTATAATATGGACAAAAAATCGTAGTTACAATGCTTATAAGCGATTTTATATCCAAAACAGATTGTTTTGATTGAAATCGTAACATCTTAAGGATCCTAATCAACCGTCGAATGTATCCCTAACCAGTACATGACATTTTTAATGGATTAACTATAAGAGCACAACCTTTATAAATATGTTTTATTTGATGTTAAATACCCAATTGAAGAGAAAATGATCGTAGTTCGCGTGCTGAATGATGAAATGAACGGTGCATTAAAAAGTTACCAGGATGGTGATGCACGATCGTTATTATTCGAACCGCAATGGCTAGTACACGATCGTTAAACTATTTCCTTGTAAGGTGTGGTCAGTAATTTCCCGGGCACGCACGTACGTAGGTAACAACGATAACAGAGAAATTGGATAATTTTAAAGAGTAGAAGGCGATCACCGGTACACCCTTGTTCATAAATCGTAAAGACATATTAAACGTGTATCTAGATGAGACGTGCATGTTTATTTTTTACATATTGGAATTATATAAAAATTCTTGATATTCTTTCATTTGGTGTGTAATCTTATTGGAACTATTCACAAATTGTTTATGATTTATTACATGATTGTGATATTATATGATTTATTATAACGTGATAAATCAGATTGTCTCTGATGATCCCAAGCTCAACTTACACATATATAATTTGTTATATGATGTATTATATGATTGA